ATCGAAGCGAAAACAAATAGGTGCAATTGTCTACTGCAGGAGAACGGGCACTCCCGATCATTTTGAGGATCTACGGAAGACAGAGATAATCGTTATAAAGACAACCGGTATCCTTATCTCTCGAAGCAAGAGACAGAATCCTTCAAGCGAATTGGAATTGAAGTCACTACTGGTGGTGCTGTCACATCGAGACCACCTGCCAGACATTTTCTCAAAGATAGGCGCCCAGAACAAGAAACCACCGCAGGGACGCCGCTCAGCAAAGGCGCGGAGAGCGGAGGTGTTGGCTGGGGACCTTCAGCTAGAGGCGAACGACCAATAAGTGGTAACCTATTGTTGGGGCTGTTTTTCTCTTGCTGAGAGCCAAACTAGTTTAAGTGCTCGTGGCCTGCAAAAAAGAGATGACCGCAGTTTTGCTGCAACCACCAATCCTTAGATTGTTCCTGAAGAGAAAACCCACTTGGAATCTTGTGTTAGGTTATTTAAAACATTTTAGTAAGTTTAATAGCAGTTTCCTGAGAATTAAATTTCCTAGAAAATGTTTCGATAACGACATTATACCCGATTTTTTAAAGTTTCGCGTGCCCGATTTTGGTGTTTTTTTTTCAAATCAAGCGGTGCACAGCTCTCAATTGAGACTCCTGAAATGTGAGATAATACAGGCAAATGCGGATAGGGCTAAGGCAACGGGTAACATAGCAAAAGCAAGGGAGGTAGTGAGAAGGGGTATATATGATAAGTGGTGGCCTTCGGTAATATTCTATCTGAACCTGCAAGCAAGGTGTAGTGTCAATAACCTGAAAAGCCGACACAAAAAAAGTTTGAAAAAGTTTCGGATAGACAGGATAGACAATTAAAAAACTTGGATCAAAGTTTTCGGTACGAGATATATTCAATGAAATTCACTTCCTTGCGGACATTGACAGTTTTTTTTGTCTGAATTGAAGTTAAATAAAATATGTGAGATTGAAGCAGCAGCAAAGAGATATGCTAAGAATGCGAAACAGACCCCCTCTGACAAGGTGTTGAAAAAGCCAGAAAGTATTTGAAGGACTACGGTCTTCTAACAGTGCTGTTTGATTATGGTTGGGTTTTTGTATCAAGAAAAAGAAGACATATGAGAAGGAACTGAAAGGTTTATTACAGGCAGAACAATTTATTGAGAGGAAGAATCTGACAGACAGCGTGATTATAAACATTGAAGAAGACATAAACAGAGAATTACTCGCCATGAAAAAGAAGGAAGAGATAAGCGAAGCGCTGTATACTAGGTTGAGATCAACGGGGGCGCAGCCGGCTGGGCTGCATGGCTTAGCAAAATTACACAAACAAGGCACATCAGTTCGTCTCGTCCTGTCTTTACCAGGTAGCTCATATGAAGACCTAAATAAAACATTGGCAAAATACATTGATAAAATTGAGGGGCAAACATAGAAACGAACACTCAAATGGCCAGGGAGATCTTGGAGAAAACAGAATTGGACTCTGATGAGAGTATAAACTCCTTTGATGTAAAGAGTTTATCCATTAATGTCCCGCTCAAGGAAGCTGTTGAAATAGCCCTGAGGAGATTATATGAGCAAATCAACCCTCCAGAAAGATCTCGCAAAACTATGAAAAAACTACTAAATTTGGCAGTGAGTAAGGTACACTTCATATGCAATGGTTTGTGGTATGTACAAAAAACGGTTTTGCAATGGGCGCTTCCTTTTCAGTAATACTGGCCAATTTGTGGCTCAAAGAATAGGAACCTGCATTAATGAAAGAAGTACCAAAATTGACGCTGCTATAGGAGGATAACAAGGAAGTCTGCCCTGAATGTCAAAAAAAGGTGACATATCGAACTAAAGGGGTAGAATGCGAAGTTTTTTTGAATTAATACCACTAAGGTTGGGTAACATATTGGAATCCAAATACGCAGACATCGCTGAAACAATATGGTATTGCATTAGTTGCAAAAAACAACAAGAAGCAGATCGGACTGAGATGGTGCTTAAGTTTTTTTCTAAGACATGTGGACGACATAGTTAGAACTGTCAAGGCTGATCCTGGAGAAGTCGTAGAGGCTGCCAATAAATTGCATCCAAACTTGTAGTTCGCCATAGAAGAACTTGATAGGAACGGTAATTGGGCCTTTTTGGATTTAAATGTCAACGAGGACTCAGGAAAAAGGTCACATGTGGGTGTTACCAAAAACCCATTGATACCGGCACCATTATAAGTTTTAGAGGTTAAGCACCTTTGCAATACAAAAGAAACATTATTGAAGGGACGGTCCATAGGGTTTTCAGAAGTACCTCAACATGGGTAAGTTTTGACTGGGCGTTGGAAAAAAATTGAAAACAAGGGATTGAAAATCAATATTTAAAAATTGGTCGGACAGGGTAGTGTTTGAAACTCTTAACAAGATCATTGAGGGAGATAAAAATTTAGAGGTGACGGCATCAGAATCGAGAAATGATAAATGATTGAAAGACTCACCCCCCTTTATACAATGCGATATCGTGGGAATCTATCTCAACTGTTAGCTGCAAAGGTTCAGCAAATATCCGCGGCACAAATAATTTTTACAACAAGAAAATTGAAAACATGCTGGCCATCCCTCAAAACTTCCTTCGCTCGTGAACTGAGATCCAAAGTGGCGTATAAGTTTAAATGAAGTGGATGTAACGCCACCTATGTCGACCATACAGTCCAAATTTAGCCACGAGGGTCGATGAACACCAATAAGGGGACTCCCCAGAATGGCAGCATTTGTTAGAATGTAAAAAGGACGTAGGCGGTACTGCTGAAGTCAGAGATTATGGACCAAACAGCCAACACTCAGAAGCTACTCACACTAGAGGCTTTGCATATTTGGAGGGAGAGGCCGAGAATCAACACACGCGATGAATTCAGGAGCCGGGAATTAACACTAAAATTATAGTTCATGTGTAACATGGTTAACATTCAAAAAACTGACATGTCACTTTGGAAAATATTCCCAAATTGAAATTTTATAACAGTGAAGAACAAAAAATTAACAAACCTCAGAAATTTACTGAAAAAGGTTATTATTGGTTACGTAATTTACGAGCATTTTTAGACATGATTCTCATTTTTTCAGATTTTTGATCGTTTTGTAAATATTGTAAGGAAACTTTTAATCCTGATGATGCACAAAATGTGGGGAAACGTTTGAATTAACTTTTTAAAATTTTTTAAACCATTTTTGTTAAATTCTGACCCTAATAGTTGTCATTAAAGCCGGCTACTATAGTAACACAGTTCAGTTTCTGCGAGGCGTAGCGCAAGACAGTAGCGGCAAGGTCGGCTAGCTTTGCGCATCTTTACGAGTGAACCGTGGCTCCGATATCTCTGGGGCTGCAGTACTGAGTCCTTGAAGCTCCTATTACCAGTTTCGCCTAATTATTGTGATAAACTTATGAAATAGTTTCAAATATTTTTTTCCCTTCAAAAATTGAAGAACAGGAAGGAAGCTATCACGAGATTGGATGTACTGGACCAGGCCTCGCAAATGAAGGGTGCACCGCTTGGATTACAATTTAGTTAACAATGAAAATACCAAAAGGTTTCTTAAAACGCGACTTTCAATGTAGTTTCTGCGCTGCTGCTGCAATAAAAGCATTAGAAAAAAGAAACTGAACCAATACACCAAAAAATAACATTTCTTACTCCCAAATTATCCAAGGTATGCAAATTAAAGAATATGAAATGAAAAAGAGATCAAAGAAGAAGAAGAAGAAGAAGAAGAAGAAGAAGAAGAGACTTTTTTAGTGAATGATACTACATATAAAATTTTTAGTTTGCGTAATTCAAGCTTTAAGTTAAATTGTTAATGTTCAGGAACGACATTTGTTGCAACGGCATTTGTTGAAGAAAGTGCATGGATTGTCGAGATTGAAGGTTGATTGAAGTTGCTGTTTAAGGAAATTGAAGAGTAGAGTCTTGGTTTGTGAGACTGTAGTTGTAGAGTTGATGTCGACTTTTGCTATGAATTGTCATGTCGACTTTTGCTATGAAAACACTATTGACGCTATGAATTGTTCTTTGGAAAAAGCTCCCAAGGGAACAGAATTTGCGGGTAAGAGGTACAGAGAATACCATTCTCTGACTGGACATGTTACCCGGTCTCGATTCACTAACAGTAACATAGTCATTGATATCGAAGTCATAACAGTTATGTAACAGTTTGAAGAAGAGAAGACAATCAGTGAAAATAATTTGATAGCAAATACGCAGTATGTTTAACATCACAAGACTGTCAGTATAATTAGTGGAACCAATTTTCCCCTTTACTGCCTTTTTCTAGAATTTTTCCATATCACGTAGCTTTAATAAATTTGGGTACTAAATACAAGAGTTATAAAGTAAAATGGACCTCACACAAGAAATGTACATTTGAAGCTTGGTTTTAACAGGTGAGTTGAAAGGAATATTACGCTTTAAATAATGAAAACACTTTGTGGCTTTACCAAGTTTCGCAGAAACATGGTGATTCCAAGACAAAGTAGGCGAGATATAAATACCCAAGTCTTTGATATGATCAACAGAGCGTATTTCTGACCCGTTAAGATAAAGGTTGAAAATAAAGCTATTGTTTGAAATGAATTTAGTTTTGTCTGGATGAAAATCAAGACCGTTTTGGGTTGCCTAGTTCTCTCCGTCGAATCTAAATCAGACTGAAAATTGTCATGAAAGTTGTCTCGATAAAGCAGTTTCAGGTCATCAGCAAATAAAGAACACCTTCCACTGCAGACAATGATCGACAAATGATCTAGAAAAATTTGCTTCGATAATGCAGTTACCGCACAAATTGAAAGCCTAAAACAAGTGTGCAAACTCATTGAAAATGGAAAACAGTTATTAAGTCCTAAATTGTGATGAGGAACGGAATAAACCATTAATACAAGCAAAAAACTGAAAGACTTTTTTATTATTATTACTATTATGAAAGCTTTACAGTAAAGTACTGAAGGGAGTTTAATCCCAGACAGAGAATCAAAGTCCTGCGACTAGAGAAGAGTTGCAGATGCAAGTGTTGCAATCACAGTTTATCACCCATGTACAAGCATTTTCGGTTGAATAGTAAGAGTTGAAGAACATCCAGAACAACTTTATGAGTCTTTGTTTCAAACCGATGGGATTTAAGTAGTCGACCCATAGAGGAAGGGAGTTAATCATGCGGGTTATTCGATGAAAGAAGTTTTGACGCGACTTCGCGAGTCTCACTCGCGGCACATTTAGGCGAACACTTTCCCCAGAGCGGGTGTTGAGAGAGTCATTGAAATTAACATGAGCAAACCAATCGAAATCATGATGATTTGAAACGATTTTGGAGAATGTGAGTAAGTCGCATATCTGCAGATGTAGAGTGATTGGTAAGATGTTCAGTGTCTTCATTCTTTCGAAATAACTTTCAGTTTGATATGATAGTATCCATTGGGTGACTCGCCGCTGAACACTTTCCAGGGACTTCTGGTTTGACCTGTTTGACTTTGTTGATTATGTAGATGTCTACATCAACAAAGATCTCACTAAAAGCCAACAAGAACAACAAAGAAACCTGAGGCAAGAACTGCGTGACAAACGAAGTGATAACCCTACAAATACGTTCACAATCAAGCACGATCAAGTCAAGCAGCGCAATTGACTAGATATCTCCATTTCGCTCTAGAACATTGAAGATGCCAAAATAAACATTCCAATACTAAACGAAAATATACTAATTTCACATGATATCCTACTTCTGACTGAAACGCTATCTATCTCACCTTTTGCAGACTTATTACCAAAACCTTTCTGTTACTTGCAAATGCAGTTAAACCATCTCGTGGCAGACTAATGGGTGGGTTGTGCTTGGCTATACACAAACGTCTAAGCAAGCAACATAAACTTATGTTCAGTTCACAAAATATCCTCGCCGGCTCCATTGGGGACCTTGGATTTATCGTATCTTACTTTACTACCGACACCAACATTGACAGTATTACGTATGAACTCGGAAATGTGCTAAACTTGTGTAGAAACCTTACTTCATTAGTGTTCGGAGGCGACTTCAACTGCAGACTTGATAAACCGAACTTACGAAGCCAAATTTTGTTAGAAAATATGAGAATTTATGGTCTGACCAATCACGAAAAAGTCCCGACATACATATACCACAATGGTACTAGCGTTATTGACCTTATATTCACGTATGGTGTGCGATTGCCAAAAAGTTCCATCCAAAAAATTGAGAATAGTACCACGAAGCATCGAATAATGACCTGCAACATTCTCTATCAGAGCACCGAATGCAAAAAAAGATTAAGTAGGTGAGAAAAATAGATATAAACTCACTGAACTCACCAAATGAGATCCTAAACAACGCAACGTCCCTCTATGAGTATAAAGAAATGCTGATAAATGTCATATAGAGATCTGCGGTGGTACCACTAAACGAAAATCTAAACAATTAAAAAAAAAATTCAAAAACTGTTAGACTGGCAGAAAAATCACCTCAGAAATAGTTTTTCAAACGACTGTGCCAAAACAAGAGACGAGAACATGAACATGTTTAGAAAACATAAATTGTTGCAGAAGCTGAGACAGATACGCAGAACTTTCGAAAAATTCTCAAGTCTAAGAGAAAACTTGCTGAAAATAGTCAGGCACAGAACAATGACTGGGTACATCATTTTAGTCAGCTATGCCTACTACCGATAAGCAGTCCTATAGTGATGAACTGGGCCGACCTCTTTTTTGCCAGAGATAACACTGAGTGTAGCGTCTCAGCCAAACAGAAAAGCCAGATCCCGATGAAATAACAAACGAAGCATGGAAAATTTCGTTTGGAACGTTGTGGTACAAGATTTTCCACTTTTCCTCGTTTTTGTTTTGAAGGTAGAACCATTCCCGACCAATGGCGAATGGCACAATTATTCCCCTTTACAAGGGGTCTGACAGTAGAGCTGAACCCGACAAATATCGTGGAATTACCCTTCTAAACACTATATACAAATGCTACAGCCTTATTCTCCACAACAAACTATACGCATGGTGTCAGCAGAGCGAAGTCCTGCCAGAGCAGCAATTTGGATTTATAAATGGGAAGTCAACACATAAAGCTATAGAATCACTCAACTCGGAAATCGAGAACAGCGTGACAAACAAGGGTAAATTATATGCAGTACTTGTGGATTTCAGAAAGGCGTTTGACACAATTGACAGAACCATGTTAATACGAAAACTGGTGACAATTGTTGTGACGAGAGATTTCTTTTGTATGCTACATGATATACTCAAATATAATGAACTCAGAATTGTAAACGGTTCTTATCTCTCTGAGAAAATCACACAGAAGGTTGGAGTGTCACAGGGCGATAAATTATCCCCACTGCTTTTCATTCTGTTTGTTGCAGATTTGCCAGAAGTTATTAATAATTGTGGCTGCAGGTGTATTTTCTACGCAGATGATCTGGTTTTGACATCGGACAAAGTTTTTGACGTACAATTAGCACTCTACAGGATTGGAATATATTGCAACGACCATAACGGTTACATGTCAGTATTTAGACAACCGCGTATTCAGACTGGTCAGTATTTAGACAAATACTGTTTCAACCAATCAGAATCGAGACAAAGAAGAAATTAATAAATAATAATTATTTATTTCAGATTATTTATGTCTTTTCTCGATTCTGATTGGTTCATACAGTATTTGTCTAAATACTGACGAGTATGAATACGCGGCTGTCTAAATACTGGCTGCACTCCGACCATAACTTACAGGTGAACGTCAGGAAAACAAAGGCTATGAAATTTAGAAAAGGCGGCCATCTGAAGCGTACAGACAAATTAACCTACCTCGGGGACCCAGTTGAATCGTCAATTCATTTTGTTTCCTGAGAGTTACCTTGACTACTCAAAGCAGCCCCAGTCAGCACTTCAATGAGCGAAAACAGAAGGGTATAGAACACATGACAATATTAGCTGCCAAAGTGGACATAAGAAAAATATCATTTGTGAGCGCCCATAAACTTTTCTGCTACGTGGTTCTCCCCTCTGCAACGTATGGACTACGCCATTTCGCAAAAACGCCAGACTTTCTAGTCTGAGTTGGAGAATATTTTTGGAAAAGATGGTGTGGAATATCCAAGTTCTCATCAAACACTCGACTATGTGAACATCTAGTGGAATACGACTATCTAAATATCAAAAACTCAATTGGTTTCCAAAGACGTGCTATATGCAGCTATTATGTAAATGGACTCCATCACAAGCTTCGTCAAAATGAAAATTGCTATAGTCCAAAACGAAAATGTCAATGTCGATTTTGCGGCCAGAGTACAGATAACTACACGCATCTACTGTCACAGTGTACTTTTGAAGCACAGAAGTTGCCATGAGAACGAGTGCAACTGCTATTTTCTCAAACTTGGTAGACTCAAAACTCGAAAGACTCGAAAAATTTTAATCATATTGGTCTCTTTATAGAGATGTTATAATTCACTTATTTGGTTATTTATTTATTACCCGTTTCCGGCTCCACTTGGGTAGCCACTTCGGCACGGACATTCACTACCAATCTTTTTAGGATTGAGTTTTACTTTCCATCGCTATGTACTCATCGTGCGAATGTTAGATACGCTTACTTTAACGCTCAATCTTAATCTCGAATGTGTTTGTGACGTCAAATTTTTTCGGCAGCTTTTTCGTGGTTTCCGAAGTGTTGTCGGCTTAGCGGATGCTCCATAAATGATACCTAAAGCTATTTAATGCTATTGGATATGTTGCGACTGTTTAGGGAGATTGAATATTGAGTAAAAATTTAGAATTATGGTCCCGCCGTTTTTGTTGAGTCCCATTCAAAAGCTCGTTTAGAAGTGTGGTCCCGTCAGACTACTTAAAAAAAAACTTCGTTGGGAGTTCACTGCCAAAGAAGTTCACTGCCAAAATCTGAAAATTACCTTCCGTATCTGACTTTTGTATGGGAGCATTGGTAGTTTTTCGGGACCGAACTTCTAAGCGAGGTTTTCAACGTGACCATGCTTTTAAGTGAGTACCGAATATTACAATTTGTGTCAAGAAAATCATTTTCGAAAGTTTTTTTTCGAATTAGTGATTTCTGTCTCATTTTCTATTCGCTAACTTGCAATGCTGCGCTGACATTGTGTCGCAAGTGGCGCGAAGCTCTGATTCACCTGTGGGTGAAAAACGATTTTTTTCGCAAGATATTGAGATGTCTCGAAATTGGTAGAAATTCTCCCCAGGCCCTACTACTAGATTGACACCCATGAATGAAGAAAGACCACGGCGTGCTGTGCGGGAAGCTAAAACAAAGCGCATTGAAGCAGACCATGAGGAGGCTGTAGTAGAAAAATTAAAGCCCAAACGTGGAAAGCGTGGTAGTCTTGCACCAGAAAGAGCATATGACGATGAGGGAATTCACGTCGAAACGCAGTTGGATCTCTGTGACTGTTTAGATCAGTGTTGTCCTGGTTTGTTCTTTATTTCATATCGGCTCAGTAGCCTTTTTTGCGTCATTTGATGAGCGAAAAAAGTTTGTGTGTGTGTTCTGAGAGGAAGGAAGGGGATTTTAGACTTCGTTTTAATAAATATGAGTTTTTTTTTCGGCGTGAAGAGTTTCTGCTCAGGCAATTACGGCTTCGTTACCTGTTGCTAATTATTTCAATGAATCATCTGCGTGTAAGGATTTTTTATTGTGCAGGTAATTTTGTTCTGAATATTTTGGGCTTTTGTTGCTTGACAAATGTTAATTGACAAAAACGATTTTTTGGTTTATCTTTTTCATTTTTTCTTTTTTCAATTCCTGTCTGATAAAACCAGGTATTATTTCTACAGTCTTCGAAAAAGTGTGTGGGGGATTTTTTGACCTATATATTGGGAATTTTTATATTTTCTCGAAAATTACCTCCCAAATCTGAGATTTTGGTTTCACTGGGCAGAACAAGTTGTGGAAGTCTCACCTGCATAAAAAATTATCTAAATAAAGTTATACAAAAAGTTATGACCCTCGGAAAGTCAAATGTTCGATTTTTTTAACCGTTTTTTGAGACTTATTGTTTCTTAAAAACTACCCTCCCAAATCTGAGATTTTGGGTTCAATGGAAGTAACGAGTTGTTTGAAGCTCCCTGCGCAAGAAGATGGCCCAAATTTTTTCAAACAAAAAGTTGTGACCCTCGGAAATGTCAAATTTTTGATTTTTTGGCCGTTTTTGATTTTTTTTTGTCTTCTCAATAACTACCCCTTCAAATCTTAGATTTTATGCTCAAAGAGTAAAACGGGTTGTGCGAAGCTCCCTTGCATCAGCATTTTCGCCCCATTTTTTTGGCACAAAAAATTATGGCCCTCAGAAAAATCTAATTTTCGATTATTTGACCGTTTTTTTTAAAACATTTTAAATTTTCTCGAAAACTACCCTGTCCAATCTGAGTTTTTGATTTTAGTCAAACGACGAATTGTGACAAGCTCTCAGCGGCTTCGTTCAAAGTTTTCAGAAATATTTTTTATTTCTGTCTTTTGTTTTCATGCACTAGGTTGTTGCGCAATGTGTTTTTTTTGCATCGCAAGTGTTGCGAAGTTCCGCTCCTCTGTGTTTAAATTGAATTCAGAATATTTCTGGAGAGCTAAATTTTCCATTAAAAAATAGTTCCAGAACGGGTTGTGCGAAGCTCCCTTGTATCAGCAGCTTCGCCCAAATTTTCTCGAAAACTACCCTCTCCAATCTGAGTTTTTGATTTCAATCAAACGACGAATTGTGATGAGCTCTCAGCGGCTTCTTTCAAGGTTTATAGCACAAAAAATTACGGCTCTCGGAATTTTTTTTTTAATTTACTTCATGTGATATCGAGGGTTGAATCGAGGCAAAAGATTTTGGGAAGCCTCCGTGCATAAAATGCTACGCCCTAAAATTGTTCAAAATTTTTTTTCTTGTCCCTGGGAATTTTCAAAAATCACAAAAGTTTCACTCATTTTAATAGAGCATTTTAGGTTTTGGGTGAAGCCCAATTTATTATTTTTCGAAATGACCTATTTCATTCCGCATCAGTACAACAAAATGGAAAATTGTTGAACCGATAACTGCAGCTTCAGCTGGGTCTCAAATTACTGTTTGATAAAAACAGGTGTTATGAAAATGTATGGGATCGTGTTATTCGTTTTTTTTTTTCGTTTTGTTTTTTGAGACGCTTCGGAAAATTTTTTCAATTGTTCCAAAATTTAGTTTTTCAAACAATACTCAATCGTTTTTGTGGTACCAATAGAAAGTCCGCCCACTACCATTTGTACCTGAGGCTCTTTTTAATTCCTGAGGCTCTTTTTACCTTAACCCACTTTCTACAGCCTGCGAAAAAGTTCAGTTTTTAATTGTTCGAAATGTTTGTGGGGTAATTTTTTACCTATTTTTTTGGGTTTTTGACATTTTCTCAAAAAATACCCTTCCAAATCTTGGTTTTTGAGTTCCATGGAGAAAACAGGTTGTGAGAAGATGCCTTGCTTAAGCGGTTGCGCCCAAATTTGTTCACACGAAAAGTTATGACCCTCGGAAAAGTCAAATTTTCGGTTTTTTGACCGTTTTTGAAACTTCTTTGACTTTTCTCAAAAACTACCCTCCCACATCTGAGATTTTGGGTTTAGCGGGAAAACTGTTTGTGCGTAGCTCCCTGTATACGAACTTGCGCCCAATTTTTCTTACACAAAGTTGTGACCCTCGGAAAAGTCCGTTTTTCGATTTTTTTGGCCGTTTTTCGAATGTTTTTGACTTCTCAAAAACTACTGCTTCAAATCTGAGACTTTGGGCGTAATGAGTAGAACGGATTTTGGGAAGCTCCCTTGCATAAGCGGCTTCGCCCAGATTTTTTTGCACCAAAAATTATGGCCCTCTGAAAAGTCAATTTTTCGATTTTTTCACTGTTTTTTGGAACTTCTTGATTTTTCTCAAAAACTACCCTCCAAGTCTGAGGTTTTGGTTTCAATAGGTAGAACGAGTTAGGGAAGACAACTAAATAAGCGGTTGCGCCCAAGTTTTTTAACACAAAAAGTTTTGACCCTCGGAAAAGTCAATATTTTGATTTCTTGTCCGTTTTTATAAAACTTTTCGACTCCTCACGAAAACAACTCAATCTGATTTCGAGGATTTAATCGCGTCAACAGTTTTTGGGGAGCCTTCGTACATAAGGCCCTGAAATTTGTTCACTCATATTTTAATAGAGCAAGAACTAGGTTTTGGGTGAAGTCCAGTTTTCAATTTTTTTAATTTGCCTATTTCATCCCGCATCAGAACAACAAAATACAAAATTTTCAAATAGGTACCTCAAGCCTGAGTTGGGCATCTAGTTTTAATCTTAATGATTCATTGTTTATCGCAAGTGGTGTGAAGCTCAGCTTCGCTTCTGTGTATAATATATGTCTACTTATGACCTATCGCTTTGCACTCTTATGTTTTAAGCATATGTTTAACAAATATGTCGATTGTCCTTGGAGTCAAATGAAACATTTTTGGAGTTGATTGTGATTTCACCGAATGTGCTTTCAACAAGAGTGAAGGTATCGTTAATCAAAATTAATTGAAGTCGGTTTTTCCGGTCGATCAATTAATCGATGCGATAACTCTATTGAAGTCGGTTTTTCCGTTCGATCAATTCGTCGATATGATAACTCTAAGTTTCGCACACTGATTCTGCTTTTTTTTATTCTCAAGAGCAACTGATTTGAAACCGTGAATTTAATATTCTGTTGTAAAGCTAAAAAGAAACACTTTGTATATAATGGTTGTGCATACAGCTAAAATGGTACATATTCGGTGCATTTTCAGTATGATTACACTATGACTGTTCTTTAGGGTTTCCAAATACGGTGCTCTTCGCGCTTTCCAAAAACGTGCCCTTCTTTTTTCAGTTAACGAACATCACGTTCCTGACAGTCGTTTTTTTGCCATCAGATTTGGCAAATTAATCGCCGAGTCGATTATCTTCACCCTTGCGACTAGCAAGGATGTTAGAACCGAGTACTGTACTTTTATTCCTGTTAAAATTTTTGTTTACAGATTGACCAAAAATCGAAAATGGCAATTTTACTGTTATGATATGTACCAAGCTCACGCTCTACCTGTATTGAGCTCGTGCGTGCTTGTTGTGTGGGCAGTACTTGTAAGATCATGCGATGTGCGTTTTTCTTGACGTTATCAAAAATCAATCAATGTTTATCAGAGACTTTTCTCTGTAATATTTGAAAAGATTTGGCAGCTAGATTGATTTTGGCCGACGTATCAGAAAAAAATTCTTTTCGATAAAATAACTGATTGAACCATTGGGTATCTAAAATTTCCATTAATTGTTTTTTACCTTTGCGATTAGCAAGGTTTTGCAAATGCGTACTAGACTTTTTTCCCCTTAAACAATTTTGCTCACAGAACGATTAAATATTGGAAATGATAAATTTACGTTTACGCACACATTCTACCTATGTTATGCTTGTGCATGCTGGCTATGTACGTAGAACTTGCAAGATATTTTCTGATCAAAAGTTCTCGGTATAGGTTAATTCAGCTTAATGAGTGTCGGCTTTAGTTCTGTCAGCTTTTTTGCCTAATGCTTTTTAAATTAAATTCCAGTCGTATCAAGTATTGTTATTCAATTGTGACCAAATATTTTGACAGTTTAAAATCATACTTTCCCACCATCATTGAAAAAACTGGAGTCATCAAATCGGAATGTAGAAGTTAGGCTTTCTTAAGGTTGACAAATAGTATGATAAAATCATTTGACAGCTTAGTTGATAATAAATTCAAACATTGTTTAGCATTACCGACTTGTTTGGCCTAG